ATTACGGGTTGTACATATTGCAGTCGCTGAAATATGGTTCTGATGATTTGCTATTCTGATTTCTTACTATTCTAGTCAAATAAATTCCTACTAATCGACGGTCTGTGTCGATACGTTCTGATGATGTATATGGACCCGGTATCGATTTCGGTGGACCAATTATGGCGAAAGAATAAAAACTGCGCAAAGCCAGGATCACTAAATCATATATTGCTCTATTTGTCTGTATGAACACCAAGGCGATTCATTTGGAATTAATCTCCGATCTCACCACAGACATGTTTCTGCTGACGTTGAAGCGTTGCATTGCAAGACGTAGACACCCCCTTACAATTTTCAGTGATAACGCAATGAACTTCCAAGGAGCGAGTAACTCACTCCACGATATTTATATATTTTTCAAAACACAAGAGAATTCAATTCTCAATTTTCTCTCAACTAGAGAAATCACCTGGGATTTCATACCACCCAACAGTCCCCACTCAGGTGGACTTTTGGAGGCAGGAATAAAATCAACAGAAATTCATCTCAAACGGACCTTAGGTAAAACTATTTCAACTTTCGAACATTTAACTACCCTTCTAGCACAAATAGAAGCCATACTCAATTCTAGACCTCTTTGCCCATTATCGTCCGATCCTTCATCTAAGTGTTCTTACACCAGCCCATTTTCTCATAGGAGATTCTCTCACAGCTTTTCCAGAAAAAAATGTCTCAATTATTTCCGATAATCGTTTGAGAATGTGGGAACAATGCAATAAATTACGTAACCATTTTTGGAAGAAATGGTTACTGGAATATTTGAATAGATTGCAACACCGTCCCAAATGGATGATATCATCCAAAAATCTCAAAGAAAATATGATAGTTTTAGTAAAAGAAGATAATGTACCGCCTGTAGAATGGGTTTTGGCTAGGATAGTTGAGATAAAACCGGGATCTGATAATAGAGTTTGAGTTGTCAAAATTTGAATAAACAAGGGATTGTATATCCGCCTAATCACCAAATTATGCCCCTCACCTTTCGAATCATTATGAAGCTTATGCTGTGCTTATACGCTTCATGGGGGAGAGGATGTTGTTAACTTCCCAACATTTCATCACCCTGTATTAAACATGAACACGAAGGTGTCTATGAGCAACTGGAAGAATCATCTACTGTTTCCCTTATAATTCTTACAAGTTGTCAAATATCTCAATTTTGATTAATATTATCTGTAATCAAATTATAAGTTAACCGCACACATGTAATACGGGCTTCCGGTCCACATCAGTATCGTGTAAAAAGTGCAGAGGATATGCAACACTTGGTGGAAGACGGAACAAATCAACAGGGTCAACAAACAGGAGCTAACCGCACATTTGTGGTTTCGGTCAGCAGACCCTGCATTCCAAGGCAGCAACCAAAAGTCACCACGGAGGTTGCTACAGCTGCTCGCATGACATTTGAGTACAAAAGTACAATTATGATGATTCTTCACTACCAAAGTGTAGTTTTTTCTTTCACCACCAACAATATAGTATTTCAATCATCATAGATATGTTGAACTAAATCTTGTCAATTCTGATCAAAATCTAGTAGCCATGACCATGACAGCATATAACAAGCTGTTATTGATAAATTCCTACCTACTCTGGATTCAAGTGGCATCCCTGATGCGATTCGCATCGAATATCGCATGAGAACAGTGAATTCGAATTGATCATAACGGAAGAAGGGAAGTTTTTATGAACAATTTATACGTGAAATGATGGAAGCTACCTTGGTAGAGAATAACATACTCTCCACATACGGTAGAAGTAGTTATTTTTGTATCAAGGGCGTGAAGTTGGCTGATATCGTAGTTGAAAAAATTTATATATCAGTTGCCGCACTCTTTTAAGATTTCGAAACATCATTTTTGTTGTCCTGTTTGCTCAAACAGCTTGCTAGCAGTAATCAGTGTTACCAATCGTAGCGGAATTCACTTCGCATAGCTGGATTGAGCAGCGTAGCGGCGGCGAAGCAAAAATGACAGCAATACGTTGCGGATTCCAATTTCCAATCTCTGAGGAGTCTCAGATGTGTGTATGTAGTCAAAATTAACAACATATTTCCTCCATCAGTATCATGAGCTCTAAGCTGTCGTTAGGCCAGAGACATCTATATAATAACAGTTTGCGTATAGCGTTTCAGTACGCTGAACAATAATTACGATTTTTTGACGGTTCCCAGAATCTTTTGATTGATGGAAAGAAAACAAATCAACGTATGTTCCTCAAGGTTGTACTAGATAATGTTCTGGTAGAGTGTACAGTATATAAAAAGGGGTGTAAATGAATGATAAATACATGCAGCCAAGCAGCAAACATATCTGGATATAAGGATTAGTTACTTTGTTGTTTATATTTATATGGTTACAAAATAAAAATGCATGTTTTGCTTTCAAATTATTTTTCGTTTATTGAAAATTCAAATATACCAATTGGTATTCAAATCGTAAGTCCAAAATGGACTGTTGTGAGTGGTGTGTATCGAAAATAATTTTTTTTTTTAAAAAACACTTTTTTTTTAAACTGTAGCAGTTAGTCACTGGATGGTAAGCAGTATGCCGATCACCGTCAGTTGTATCGGGTCGCCGAAAAAAATAGCATTGCATAATTTGATAGCGCAATGTACACGGTCTTTTGGGATGAATTTCAATTGTTTGTGAATAAGTTTGTTCGGAAATGGGAAATAAATATAATTGCGCTAAGGTATTTCGATACTGCCAATGATTCGCATTGTGAAGATTTAATCAATGCAGTCTTATTGAATTTCACTCCCCCAGTGAAGACGCCGTAATTCAAATGGGTGCAGTTGTCAGCGGCATGTTTCTGATCTGGAGATATCAAACGTCCAACAAAGACTGACGTTACTGATAAATCAGTTCTTTCATTGTGCTTTTATGGACCGCAGCGCGTAAATAAGAGCCCGAGCGATAGCGAGTGCCATTAATAAAACGCCTGGGACCATAAAAGCAGGTTACGCCCCAAATACATGATATGACATTATATCCAGGACCAGGCGTAAAGCGGCACTATATCGCATGGATTCGCGGGCATAAAGTAGCACTTCATCGCCCTAGGCAAAAAATAAGTACAGTGGGCGGTGAAGTAGCTGATCGAACCGTGAAGTAATTCTACTATTTTTCTAGTAATTCTTCGTACACAACCATTCGATCTCTCTTTGCCTGTACCATACATAATTTATACAAATGAATTTGAAATTCTGTGAATAAACTCCATATTGATAGTGAATGATAGATGTCTACCTGAAACGATCATGCATAAATGTAGTTGATTCTCCATTCTATAGTACACAGATGAAAATGATTTATTCGATCGAAAAAATCTATTTTCTTGATACTAATTTGCTTCGTTCAAGTAATTTTCATTTGAATGAAGCGATATACACTTGTTCCAAATAAATCGGCTTGCTTGCTTCGTTTCTCGAAATTTCTTGATATGAATTTGCTCAACAGAATATCTCTCTATTCAAGAAAACGCGACTACAAGCAACATGAATTCCAATTTATGTTGGTTCAAGAAAATCTCTGCTTATCTGAAAGACTTGCAGTGACGTATATACGTCGATACGCCTGCGCCCATTCGACTTCTCAGTCGTTATACCCGTCATTCGTTATTGCCGCTGTTGTGTTTCTCTTGTAGACGGTGCAGCAGAAGCACTTCTGTTTTCTGATGGTGAAGTGTTCAAGAATCAAGTATGCTGAGTTATGGATAATGGTGGTGTGGTATCATCTTCACAGCATTTCGGCATTCCATATTTGAGGACAATCTGCAGGAGTTAGAACTCTGTATATTTCTGTAACATAGTTGTTCATAGTAAGGTGTTTTCCTCTTCTCATTTCATCGAATACATGCTGAGAACATCACTGTCAACGCATATGGCTATGTTTGTTCAACCTGCATAACACACATTCGTTCAGCAGTGACGATCTGACCAGTCGCATTCATTCTATGGACGCACTAATTGGTCTAGGTAGGTATAATTTTCCATTCTGTGTATATTTTCCATTCGATTCCTGATTGAAATGATTGAACCAATGATAATCCTTCCTTCGTGTTTTCACATACCTATAACATCTTTTACACATGCCCTTTTGTCGAACGCAAAATTTCTTTCAACCAGAAAATATCTGGTTGTTTTTGAAATTTCGTTTGTGACAATGCCTGGCTGTGATCAATGGAAATATTTCTTCTTCTGAAGCAAGTTCTATATGTATACGGTTAATGATTCACATTCAACAAGCCACTCTACGAAGCACACACAACATTTTTTTATTGATGATTTTACTCTTTTCTCTAGGTTCTCGTGGTTCAACATTCGAGCCATTTCAAGCACAGTGACATTACGAGGAAGAAGACGAGGACAGCAAATCACAAAAATCAAGAAAAATTGATATTACACCTCCTAGATTGAGCTACACATGATATTTGATGATTTCACTATATGTATATGTTTTCACTCATATTATACATGTTCTGTCATGATAGAATGACCAAGTTTTGATAATGGAGCCTTTTGTTCACCAATTGTGAGAATGTATTTCATTCAATACTCAATACTCTAATAGTAGGCTGTATTTTGATGTCCTTCAAACTGATAATCTCTTGGCACAAGAAAACAATAATCTTCTGGAAAAATATTCACTTCGAGATATTATCTATTCGAAACAAGCTCAAAATGTTTTGATTCGAGAACAAAATATGATGGGAGATTAACTTGGCAATAGAACAATTTTCTTGTTTCGAACCAATTGATTCTCTCTTCGACCAATACAAACTGTGATAATAAAGAAATATCCATTCGGATTGAGACTATCTTTTATGAATGAGTCAAGAAAGTTCTGTGAAAAAATCGAACAAATATTTGATTGGACCCATTCAAGAGCGCTTTGAATTAAGAAATCCTTTATATCTGATGTGTATTCTTTTTTCGAAGAGGAAGAACCACTCACCTCACAACGTGCTTGTGCCTCTCGACCCAGTACTTGATCGCCGATCTCACCATCAGCTCCTGCTTCTTGCTGAGCCCGTTCGGCCCTACCCCGCCGCCCCCCTGGCCGAACGTCTGCAGGGCGCCGCTGCGATAGTTGGTCCCTAGTTCCTGCCTCGTACTGTATATGCCCTTCAGGTTGATCTCATCGTTCTTTGCGTTATAGTCTGCTCGTAAATAGAACACAAATAAAGTGCTCAAAGAAACAAGTGGACCACTGGAATATTTGACAATTTTCAAACTGCCATATCTCTATAGAAAATGAATGAATTTTCAATAGAAATGCAGTGTTTGAAGGATGCGATCCTTCTGTTCAAGATTTTCCGTTCAAAACTCGTCGGGAGTTGTCCTGTCATTATACACCAAGTGTTCGAAGAAAGTATTACAATAATGAGAGAATTCAAACGCTTCCGTATTCCAGGGAAGGTTTTTTATTTTTCCACTAATAATTTTTTTCCGAACTTTTCAGGCAAAATCTAGGAACGGTTTTGTATTTTCATATATTCCTCATACAGGATGTTCAAAATCGATGATTTTTCATTTCTAGGCTTTTATCGCATCCTTTTCGATTTTAATATTATGCAAGCCACATTCAACGTATTTTGCCACTCTATACGACGGAACACATCCTAGAAAATGGATTCCAATTGCGTTGAGATCATTGGCAACTTCAACAGAAGGAAGAATATTTTTTTTGGAAAAATGTTCAGAATTTAGTGAAATCGTCTGTTCAGTTTGGTGCTGCCATAACCATATGCTATGCTGAACACGAATCCTCAATTTGGATCGATTGCTCAGCTCAATATCTCGAATTATTTTCGTGATTTTACAGGTAAGGCAATCCACGGGGCGCAAGAATGCCCCTCTGGATTTTTCTGACTAATTAATACAAAAACAATGCAACAATGGTTTCAAGATATTCCTGAGCTGACAGGAAGTCAAGAATCCTATTTATCTACAACTATGGAGTCATTCATACATTGCTAACTCGATTTTCAACATTTAATAACAGACATTATTGTGATGAATCGAGTAATAAGAATGATAATGACAGTAGGATGGCGTAATAATCTGACATCCCATCGTTTTGTCAAATTCAACTAGGTAGGTAGGCCAAAGCACACCACTATACACCTTACATGGTTCACATAGTTTTAATCACCTCAATTCTACAAATACACGAAGAAATGAGAATTCATTGTTTTTCATTCTCAACAGTGACTACCATCACGAGTAACCATAACCATAAAATAGGACTTGACACTTGACAGTTGCAGATTGGCTCACACTTATGAACCATGGAACTTCATTGTTGATAACTAGCATCTAGAGACAGGGTACTTCAATTAATCATCGCGGTGGGGGAACGCTACAGCGGAAGCAAGCTGATGAATAATCTGCAATAGTATGATTCATTTTACAACTGAAAAGTGAAATGGCATATAATACCTGGTAGGATTGACTGATATGTGATTGCACGACTTTTTTCCTGTTGATAAAAGTTAGATCCAACATTTTGTATATCATATTTTCACAATCAAAATTATTGTTGATTATCGTTGATTGAAATTTCTGTCAATAGGTTTTTGATGGAATTAATGAGTATTTCAAATTAGATTTAGTGATTTTGCAATAAAATAACCTTCATTATTTCTAAAGATATATTTCTGAACTCTCAGAGTTGCTTCGATATCGGAATAGTTGTAGATAAAGTATAGTATTCTACTCGCACATAATGACTATTACCCACTCAGATGATTACAGCACTCTCTTTCGGCTCGTACTGCAACTTTCATCTTCGTGGGTAATAGCCATCATTATGCGCTCGTTGAATAATATACTATTATCACAAGATTTTTCATCGCGTAATCTGAATCAAATGTTGATTTCTGTCAATCAACACTCATTTACGCAATTATTACCACTAGAACACCCAATATAATGCCTTCTGTCGAACCTTTCACAACTGTCATTATCGGTTTGACGTAATTGCGTGAATGAGTGTTGATTAAAAGAACTCAAGTTTTTGAGTGATTTTTGATTACGCGATGAAAAATCTTGTGATAAATAGGTTTTTTTACTTCATGTCAGCTCAGGAATATCTTGAAACCATTGTAGCGTCGCTTTTGAATAAATTGGTCAGAAAAATCCAGAAGGGCCTCCTTGCGCCCCCTTGGATTGTCTCACCTGAAAAATCACGGAATCAATTCGAAATATTGAGCTGAGCAATCTATTCAAATAAAGCATCGTTTGTGAAGTTTTAACATTTGAAGGATTTGTGTTTAGCATAGCAAATGGTTATGGCAGCACCAAACTGAACAGACGATTTCACCAAATTCTGAACATTTCCCCAGGAGAATTATTTTTTCTTCTGTTGAAAATGTCGATGATTTCAACGTGATATGAATTCATTTTCTAGGATGTGCTCCGTCGTATAGAGTGGCAGAACACCTTGAATGTGGCTTGCATCATTTTAAAATCGAAAATGATGCGATAAAAATCTAAAAATGAAAAATTATCGATTTTGAACATCCTGTATGAGGAATAAAGAAAAATACGAAACCGTTTTGAGTTATCAGCATGAACATTCGGTAAAAATGATTGGAAGAAAAATAAGAAACATTCCCTGGAATACGAAAGCGTTTGAATTATCCTATTTTTGTAATAGTTTTTTCGAATGACACAAAAACTCCCGACAAGTTTTGAACGGAGAATCTTGAACAGAAAGATCGCATCTTCCGAGCACTGCATTCCGATTGAAATTCCATTCATATTCTATAGAAATATGGCAGTTTGAAAGTTGTCAAATATTCCAGTTGTCCACTTGTTCCTTTGAAAACTTCAGTTTTTTAACTTTCGTACTAGATCTGGTTTCACTATGGGTAGGTGGGACACCCTGTGCCTGGATGAAAAGAGGAGGTGAGAGTTGGATCTTTTAAGCTCCTGCAGGTTATGACTCCTTGAAAAAACTCCCACTGGCACATAATTCGGAAGTTTTGTCTATAGAAGAACGAGTTTTGGTAAAGTGTTGTTCGACATATTTCAAGGTTGAAAACAAGAGAATATGTTCGTTATCCTTCGATATCTAGAAGGACGTATATTCAACTTATTAGGTTCTTCATAATGAATTCAGTGAATAGTGTCTAATGAACCGCTTGATATCAAACACTAGCAAAACTGTAGTAATGAAAATCAACATCACAATCAATACTGAAAATTCGATAGTGGTGCCTACCATAGTGTCGACTAAGAATTTGAATATGACATTCTATTGTTCAAGACGACAATATTACTTGAAACGTTTCTGGATAGTTCAGTAACTTTTCAAAGTTTTACTTATCATATCAGTGAAAATGTTGATAATGGGTATTATGCAATGTTTCGACTCAAAGGCATATTCAATCAACATCAACTTTTGAATGTTTATCAAGCTTTGATATAGTGATATATTCTCACTTGACATACAAATGAAATTCGGCATCTTCTCACATTTCAGGACAGTTTTCCGATATTCTAGTTTTTCTGGAAATAACATCAACTCTCGATTTCCAAATAGAACTTCCTTTATTTCATGCCATAATCCGTCAGAGATTATTATACCGAATTCAGCAATACCGAGTTTGACTGGGTTATTTCAAACGATTACGGAGATTCTGAGAGTTGATGTCATTTTCAGGAAAACCGGAAGAAGAAATGAATTTTCTAATATGTGAGACAGTGCCTTCTAGATGCTTCTAGTGAGCATATTCAATGTTCCGAATTCCAGAAATATAAGTAGAGAAACGAAGGACAAAAGGAGGGTATACCATGAGTCAGTGTCAGTCGGAATAGTGAACCGCCCAAACTCAAGGAATCGTTTGACTGAAAATCATCATTGGATTCATGAAACCATATTGATATAATGCATATTGATGTACTCACCATTTTCTATTAGGTTGTCTTGAGAATTTGCACTAGGTGCCCTGAATAAATCGGCACTCTTCGGTACATAGGTATCTAATGTCGCAGATAATTCCTGTAATGGTTTTAACATTGAAAGAGTTTTCATCAATTTCACGATCAAATTGATAATTGTAGTGAAATTCAGAGATGATGTAGGAATTCAAAAATGAATGAATAGAGAAATGAAGAAATGTCTGAATGGAGAAATGGAGTGAAGAAGAAACGAAGAAACGAAGAAACGAAGAAACGAAGAAACGAAGAAACGAAGAAACGAAGAAACGAAGAAACGAAGAAACGAAGAAACGAAGAAACGAAGAAACGAAGAAACGAAGAAACGAAGAAACGAAGAAACGAAGAAACGAAGAAACGAAGAAACGAAGAAACGAAGAAACGAAGAAACGAAGAAACGAAGAAACGAAGAAACGAAGAAACGAAGAAACGAAGAAACGAAGAAACGAAGAAACGAAGAAACGAAGAAACGAAGAAACGAAGAAACGAAGAAACGAAGAAACGAAGAAACGAAGAAACGAAGAAACGAAGAAACGAAGAAACGAAGAAACGAAGAAACGAAGAAACGAAGGAACGAAGGAACGAAGGAACGAAGGAACGAAGGAACGAAGGAACGAAGGAACGAAGCAACGAAGAAACGAAGAAACGAAGAAACGAAGAAACGAAGAAACGAAGAAACGAAGAAACGAAGAAACGAAGAAACGAAGAAACGAAGAAACGAAGAAACGAAGAAACGAAGAAACGAAGAAACGAAGAAACGAAGAAACGAAGAAACGAAGAAACGAAGAAACGAAGAAACGAAGAAACGAAGAAACGAAGAAACGAAGAAACGAAGAAACGAAGAAACGAAGAAACGAAGAAACGAAGAAACGAAGAAACGAAGAAACGAAGAAACGAAGAAACGAAGAAACGAAGAAACGAAGAAACGAAGAAACGAAGAAACGAAGAAACGAAGAAACGAAGAAACGAAGAAACGAAGAAACGAAGAAACGAAGAAACGAAGAAACGAAGAAACGAAGAAACGAAGAAACGAAGAAACGAAGAAACGAAGAAACGAAGAAACGAAGAAACGAAGAAACGAAGAAACGAAGAAACGAAGAAACGAAGAAACGAAGAAACGAAGAAACGAAGAAACGAAGAAACGAAGAAACGAAGAAACGAAGAAACGAAGAAACGAAGAAACGAAGAAACGAAGAAACGAAGAAACGAAGAAACGAAGAAACGAAGAAACGAAGAAACGAAGAAACGAAGAAACGAAGAAACGAAGAAACGAAGAAACGAAGAAACGAAGAAACGAAGAAACGAAGAAACGAAGAAACGAAGAAACGAAGAAACGAAGAAACGAAGAAACGAAGAAACGAAGAAACGAAGAAACGAAGAAACGAAGAAACGAAGAAACGAAGAAACGAAGAAACGAAGAAACGAAGAAACGAAGAAACGAAGAAACGAAGAAACGAAGAAACGAAGAAACGAAGAAACGAAGAAACGAAGAAACGAAGAAACGAAGAAACGAAGAAACGAAGAAACGAAGAAACGAAGAAACGAAGAAACGAAGAAACGAAGAAACGAAGAAACGAAGAAACGAAGAAACGAAGAAACGAAGAAACGAAGAAACGAAGAAACGAAGAAACGAAGAAACGAAGAAACGAAGAAACGAAGAAACGAAGAAACGAAGAAACGAAGAAACGAAGAAACGAAGAAACGAAGAAACGAAGAAACGAAGAAACGAAGAAACGAAGAAACGAAGAAACGAAGAAACGAAGAAACGAAGAAACGAAGAAACGAAGAAACGAAGGAACGAAGGAACGAAGGAACGAAGAAACGAAGAAACGAAGAAACGAAGAAACGAAGAAACGAAGAAACGAAGAAACGAAGAAACGAAGAAACGAAGAAACGAAGAAACGAAGAAACGAAGAAACGAAGAAACGAAGAAACGAAGAAACGAAGAAACGAAGAAACGAAGAAACGAAGTAACGAAGAAACGAAGAAACGAAGAAACGAAGGAACGAAGAAACGAAGAAACGAAGAAACGAAGAAACGAAGAAACGAAGAAACGAAGAAACGAAGAAACGAAGAAACGAAGAAACGAAGAAACGAAGAAACGAAGAAACGAAGAAATGAAGAAATAAGAAACACAAAATCAAGAAATAATTGAATTCAAAAATGAAGAAAAGAATGTGTTAATGAAACTGGACTGAAAGCAAAGGAGCAAATTCTTATTATAACCATCAGAACAAGCAAACCCTTATAAGCCGATGAGAAAAAAGTGAGACAATGTCACGACAGGGAGTGCAATCGCATCGTGATGTGTGTATACAGGATGTCCGCAAAAAAATCATCCAGAAATGCTCAGTTCTCAAGATACAGTGTGTTGAACTTGACCAACTGGAAATACAACATTTTGGTCCCCTTAATTGATATTTTGCTGCGTTTCCGTGGAAAACATAAATACCAATTTTAGGTATGAATATGTGCAAAACATTCCTTAAAAAAACAAAGATGGAAATGAATGTGCGATCCATTCCATAGACATAGAATATTGATATTGATATTCAATAATACATGTTCGACACATTTGGTATCATTGAAAACTACTCCTTCCTGGACTGTGAATACTAAGTTCTCAATAAACAGAGTGTAGAGTGTGTTGAACATTCATCATGAGATATTTGAATAAAATGAATCTTCATCCCTATTCTATCTTTATAGACACGGATCACTCATTCATTATCACCGTATTTTCTGAAGGAATTATTTGGCACAAATTCATGTGCAATAAATCTTTTTTTGTTCCATGAAAATGAAGCAAAATATCAAAATAATTCAGGACACCAGCATGTTTCATCCTTAGTTGGACAATAGGAAATGAAAAAAATGCAATTCCAATTGGGTTGTGGCTTCATCAGCACCTCATGACAGATGAAATATTTGCCAAATTTGAAGACAATCGGTGGTCGGATATTTGTAATATTCATGAAAATACATTTTTTTTGTCAAGCTCAACATACTGTACGTTAAAAACTTCACATTTCCATACCCACATACATATAAAATGAAATTCTCATTTCATCGTATAGAATAAACCCCTTGGTTTTCTTGCGCATAATTTTTGGACACCTTGCATAAACAATGAAGCACTCATGAACTCAGTATACACTTTCCAGAATCACTTTACCATCAGAGGCTTCATGATCTCCTTCAGATGCTGCAACTGCTCGCACGCAAATATCAGCCAGGAGCAGAACAGGCTGTCCAGGAGGTTGGCGTGGGTTAGCGAGAAGAAGACGTAGTACACCTGAAACACCAGCGATACGTAGTACTTCATGCCCGACATGGCGTTCCAAGGGTACCACGATTTCACTAGGAGTCTGGGGATCTCTTCTATGATAGTCTCGTTCTTGTTGTCGGGGTCTTTGATACGGTGAACGCTGTCACCCACGAAGGTTATGGCAGTCCAAGCTGGAACATGAGGTAAGTCGTGAAAATCACCTTTCTTCCTGAAGTGGTTCAGAAATGTTTATAGAAGAAAAACAAAATTGATATATTCATCGAACTAGATCTCATGATGGAGAGATCAGGAATGAACAGATTTGCTCCAATTTCCAGCAGGAGCGAGACGGTAGGTACTGTTTTGGCCCACCAGGCCTTTCCATTTAGCACCGGATGTTTGAAAGACATTGATCCTAGGTCTATATGTCCAAGAACGTATCAAAAATGTCTTAAACACGTACAATTGAGTACATCAATTCGACGGACAGAAGTGTACGATGATGTATCTCAGGTAGCACATTGTGTCTTATAAATGTTATGAAATACATATATGAAATGTCATTCAATTGACGTACATAAGACGGCATATGAGTAACGACTTAATGACCAAATATATGAGTTCATATCGACGTCATTATCTCGCAGATGGAGTTGTTATGTTTTCGTCATTATCCTACTGATATTGACGTAATCTGGAGTTAGATTTCAAATTCAAAATTCGCGTTCAGAAGCAAAAACAAGTTTTATTCAATAGGTACCTACCCAATAGATGAGGAAAGATTTTATTATTATACATTCAGATATATTATATGGAACAAACATTTTGTCATCTTGAAGATATTTACTTGAAAACATATTATTTGATATGCTGAACATAGTGAACAAATCTTGAAGAAGCAGGAAAAAAATTAGTTCACTATTTTCCGTGAGTAAATATCGAACATTTTGGGAATTTTTCAAATTGTCATGTCTGATGAAGGTATGGATGAAGGTTTGAAATATTCTGCTATAAGAAATGTTTTCTTGTGACCGCGATATTGAAAATCAGTATGACCTGAAGAATATTCAAAAAACAATATGAATCTTCATCTGAATAAATCCTCATGCCATAAGTAAGAAAAATCTTTGAAGATAGCCTCATGATATTGTCTGCAGCAGTCTGTTGAATTTCTTCTCATCTTTGAGAAGCGGCCAGGAGATTTTATTTGTTTGTGGCATCACCCAAGCAACTAACCTAACCTCGGCCAGATAATATTGATTATTATACCCACATGAGTTCACCATTACACATATAATCATCACACACTCGACACTACAGAATTCCTCGAGATTTTCATTGAATTCAAATATATTCAAACCATCCTTACATTTGAAATTTTCTAGTTGGAGGAAAGGCAACATGGATCCACACACAACAACATGGCGTTGCGTTTCGCTTTTCGTTAATTTCGCATATACCGTTGCCAGTATTTCATCATAGTGAATCGCCAAAACAACAGTGAAATGACGTCCGAATTATATTCTCATTCGTTTTTGTATCAAAATATTGGCTGTTGTCTAATTGGACACAAATTCATTTTATGAAGTGAATAAATATCAGGAATAATTGGGTCTCTAAAATATTTTAACGATATCAGAATTGAAAGCAAACACATCTGATGGATATCGATGCCTGGATCATATTTTCATTATATACTGTATCCGCAAAAATATTTATAAAAGGATATAATCTACTTCTATATATGCACCAAAATACAACAGAATGAATGTCTGTATAGTGTCGAATCATTCACAATGAAAACATTGGTCATAACCGAGACACCGTCAAGAGAACCAGTGCTGCCATCGTTACGCCATCATCAAATAAAAAATGAAACCCATTGTTTTTTTCCAAACAAGCATATTCGTATCGCTATTGTTGCCGCACTATTCGAATTGAATTTTTTTTTTATCGCTTGGAGCGCACGAAAGTGAATCCCTATAATGTTCAAAGAACATCGTGCGTTCCTAGGGGGGATAGGGACAGGAGGTAGGTATTGGAATTTTTTTTGAACTTTTGGAGATTATATCGTGGGCGTACAAGCAGAATCATGTGAGTCCAGAAAATAATATAAGGAGAAAAATGCAATTGAATATTCGAATCAACCTGTAAAATTATAACGAAATTGACTTAAGTGGATTTTCATTGACTATATCTCCGGAAACAAACGCAAAATGGACTTGAATGTTTATTTGCCTGGAGCGTTACGCTAATATGGACTTATGTGTGATAAATTCCTCATTCCCGAAAACAGTGGACTTACAGGGTTCTGCTTGTACGCCCACGATTATGTTGTTGGGAATATTTCCACAGGCAATGCATTCCAGAGCCTAGCCGTTCTATGGATGAAGGAGTCTTGATAAAGTGCTGTTCGACATCTTTCGAGGTTGACAACGAAAGGATGTGCTGACTGGGCTTGTCTAGTTCGTCTGATTGGTATTGCTAGTGGAGGGATGATAGCAGAATACTTCATTATTGCAATAATTCCGAGGTATAATTTTTCTTCATGGGAAACAATAATGACGTCAATAATATGTTATCTAGACGTCACTAGTCATAGACTTTGTGTTCCCTAATGAGTGATCATGTCATTATGACGATTATTTGATTCACGTTGAATTGACGTCATGGAATTCGAAGTAAATTCAATGTCCCATATTGGTCACACGACGTCTATGACCAATATTGACCTGGAAACGACGTCATGAGGACTACTCTACAGACAACTGTGCAACCTGGGATGTTATTTTTTGGAAAAAAAAAAAAAGAAAAACTCATCTTTCATCCATGTTTCTTATTCCCAAGTTTTCAGTTTCTCCTTATCAACAATTGATGCTTTCAAATTTGTTTCGTTCGTCATTTTGGAGCTCCCGTGTTATATTCTTGAATTTTGACTCGAAAATCATAATCTCCGACCCAAAAGCCCGATGCAGTTAACAATGTTGAATAAAATTGGATCAAAATCACAAAACTCGTCCGCCAGTTTGAAGCCGTCATCTCAAATTTTTGTTTTCGACAAAAGAAATTATGATCTCTGATTATGAAAACCCCCAGATGCCATTTTTTATTCGAATCAGACCATAATCAGCAAACTATAGTCTGTCATATTAGATCTGCCTTACTATTTTTTCCATTCAATAATCATGTCACAACACTTGCCAAATCTCAAACCAATCGAATGATTGAATTTAAAGTTGAACTCGCAAGTTTCGATTACAAACAGACAGCAGCACATGTTGACTGAGTAGAGTGAAAGCTTGTTATGTAATAAATGGGATGGAACAAGTGATAGAAGAAATAAATATGGTCCCAGATCACCTCAGAAGGGTTTTTACTTAATTTTATTGACATAAACAGACCTCAGGCCTGGGAGTAGTGTCGGACAAGCGTATGCGCTTCAAAGAAAATATCACGTAATTGAAATCGAGAGGTCAGGGAGCGATATGGCAGCTTTATCTATTGTCAGTCAGGAATTGACGGCTGACAACGAATAATCAGCTGCTACTATACGAACAAATTATCAGACCAGTAATCACATACGCTTGTCTTGACTAATGTAGCGCCTCCATCATTCATGACTCAACTGAGTAGGTAACAGGACTCACGTCTGTGGAGTATGCGTCATGGAACATGAAACGGAATAGTCAATTCATGGTTCGTATACTCCCCTGACCTGATATGCACGCGCAGTGCCATGATCTGCCCCTGATTAAAGAATACATCATGGAAACTTCAAATAAATGTTACAAGCACCACATCAGTAACAGTGAACTTACACGATATATGACGGCAATCAGGGCAGATCATGACATCCACAGAGGAGATGAACTAGTATATGAAGCCAGCGATATCTTCAGGAAACTCCCTGAATGAATTCTCACCTCACCAACCCTAACAGACTGACAAACGACAACAACAACACAGCTTGAAAGCTGTAAAAACGATCACTTTGGAGGTCGTTCGATCGGATCGTAGACTAAACGTTATGGTTTGGCTGAACGACTTCCGAACCGACTCCAGCACAAGGGATTAGGAAATGATATTGGGCAACGCCCATGAAATAACAAAAGTTGTTTTTTACTATTATTCCAATAATTGTGGTTTCTGTTTCCTCGAAAAAAGATATCCTGTGATGTTCTGGGAACATCGTGAGAACCAAGGGAAATGAGGTAGGAATTATTGGTGATCTTCTCAAATTCATGGAGGTTATATGCCTTTAGCAATACCTCCCATGGCAATGTGTTCCAGAGCTTTGCTGTTCATTGGATAAACGCGTCTTTGAAAAGGGATGTTCTGCAGGTCTCCAAAGTGACCACGAATGGGTGCGAATCTCGCAGGGACTGCCAAGGGAAGAACAATTGTTGATATTTCAGAAGAGCATCGTCCATGGAAATATCTGAAAAAGCCAGATGGTCAACTTGTCTACGGTGTTCCAGAGAAGTGAGCGAGTTTGTGAGCGAGGCATCACCCACGACACAAATTGCCGTTTTCTGGACAGAATTCAACAATTTCAGGGTATGTTTTGAGTGCTGCACTCCAATTATATGGGAAAAATATTCTAGGACAGATCGGATCTGAACCTTATAAATCATAAGCAGCTGACTGGAAATAAAATATCTCCTGGCTCGAAACAGAAAACAAAGTTTTTGGGATGCACTTTTAGCTATTGATCCCACGTGATTTTCCTAAAAGAGGTTATTGCTGATTGTGATACCATGGTTACTCCTGACAGGCCTATGTTGGGCATGGCACAGTGAGATCGGCTTTCCTAAAGAAAAGGCATGCTCGTGTTTTGTGTGTATTGAAATCTATAAGTTATTGGATGCCCATTCTAGAATCGTTGCCAAGTCCATATTCATGTTGTCAACATTTCTCCCTAGTTCGTTCCTGATTTGCCTGGCTGGTATTGGAGCCTTGGAAGGGAAGTCGGTATGAAGGATAGTATTATCCGCGAAGCTGTGTACTGGATATGAAGTTGCTTCCATCAAATCGTTGCTTTGGAGTAGAAATAGTGTTGGTTCTAGCATTGATTCTTGCGGAACACCAGCATTCATGATGAGGGA